TTCTAGTAAACGGTACAAATGGCAAAAACTCCATTTCTTTACTAAGATTTAGCATTGCTTACATATTTCATTGGGAAACAATCAAATCTTGATCTCTGTTTTTTTCTCCCTGCAGGCCGAGTTGTGTTTTTGGGAAAAGCCGGTGATATGCAGCAACCAAGTTCTGCTGAGCTTAGAGGCGTTGGCTACTACTGAATTTTAACATACAAAATTGTCATAAAGGTACACAATTTGCTATTGTAGTTTCACTTCTGTTGTCTCTTCTTGTATCTTGAAGGTTTGGTTTAGCGTTCTTCAATTGGCATTGGCCCTTTACATTGTTTTCGGCTAACCAAACTAAACCAAACCCAACCAATACGATTTAAATTAAACCGAATCTAAACCAAAATCTCGATTCTAAACAAAGTGAAAATCAAGACCAATCTCCACGTGTTTACAAACATTGCATGAATGCCACCTCAAAGCTGAATCTGTCCTCCATTTGTTTTACCCTTCCTCATTCTATTCTTTGTCACACACGAAAACAACAATAGCTCTCTACAATGGCGGAAAGGTTCTCTAGCGGCGAGGCCCAATATTGGCCCATCTACGGTAGCTCCACCACCACTCCCACTGTTAGCAACAGCCCCATCGCGTCGGTTTTCCATCAGCTCCGATCTCATTCTCCAACCTCCTCGCAGCTCTTTGGTTTCCTCGCTCTCTTTATCTCCAGTGGAATCCTCCTCTTCCTCCTCGGTGTAAGCGTCACCGCCGCCGTGCTCGGCTTCATTGTGTTTCTTCCATTGATCATCATCTCGAGTCCGATATGGATTCCCGTTTTTGTCCTCGTGGGCGGGTTCTTAACGGTCTCTGGATTTCTGGTCGGAACGGTGACAGTCCTGTCGTGGACGTACCGCTATTTCCGGGGAATGCACCCGGTTGGATCGAATCAGATGGATTATGCACGTAGTCGGATCTATGACACGGCCTCTCACGTCAAAGATTACGCTAGAGAATACGGTGGTTACTTCCATGGCAGGGCTAAAGATGCGGCCCCTGGTGCTTGACCTGAACCGGTTGGTATAGTCTGGGGCAGGGTAGTATTAACCGATCGCGGTACGATTTATGGAGCAGGAACACGGTTCATGGTATTATACTATATTTTCTTATTTTGTTTCCGTGATAAGATGAAGAAGAATGTCTAGTTATGTATAAGAACATCGAGTTATCTTGAATTGTAATATTTTATTTTGTTTCCGAGTTTTTTTTTTCTATATATTTTGGAGGAGATACTTACATAATCAAATGTCTTCCGGTTATCGTTTTTAAGTATCTTCATTGATTATTTCAGACGATATGGAAGAACATGTTACATCCTTTCTGTGTTATTTTTCTAATAATGAAAATGTTCTTTATTCTTTTGAAATAGTCATGTTCAAGTTTGACAAAAGTTCCAATAAGAACCTTTTATTGTTAAAACCAATGACTTAATAACCCTATCTATACGTTTTATGAACATGAAAATTGTCTATCTGTGTATTAACATTGTACTGAAAGTCTGAAATCTAAAGAGAATATGGTGTTGGGTGCAAATATGTTACTAGTGAATCCAAATTTATGACATCTCTAGAATAAATATTATGTAAAAGAAAAGGATTGTAAAATGTTGGTTACAAAGCCTATTCAGGGAAAGTCTTAGATTATGTCCACTGGTAATTGGTTTGACAGAATTCAAAGATTCCAAACTTTATTAAGAAAATCTTAATTCGAATGTTTACCCTTTATAGTAGCTAATTTATGACTCACTGTGTGTTGATGCATGAACTGAGACAATTTATTGTAGCTAGTTTATTAACATTGGAAAAATCAGTCACTGGAGATTTTGAAGAGGCACAGAATACGCATACAATGGTTACATATTTACAAGCTCAAACGTTACATTACGGAAAAAAAATCTAATGTGACATTAAGCATATATAATTAATTAGATTCTAAGACAGTTGGAATCTTCTTCACCCCTACTTTTTTTTTTTTTTTTTTGACTTCTTTGTGTTTTGATTTTGTAGTCAAAGCCAGCCAGACAAAAAAGCCAAGTCAACACCAAAACTTGCTGAACATCAACCGTTGATTTGGTCTAATGTATTTTTGAAAACGATTATTTTGGCGTTTGTAATCATTAACATGGCTAATTAAAGGTCATCATTGGAACCTTTTTACCGCATAGTGGATTCAAATTCTCAATTATTCCATATATATAAATGGAAAAATATAGTTCAACCACATGTAATCGCTTTCTCTAATTAATGATCCATTTGAATGGTAATGAACGGTTGAAATGGGAAAGAAATCTTAGCCTTTATTATATCGGATTTTTTTTTTAACTACTAAAGTTTTAAATTTGCCAAACGTATTAAATACTACATAAATTACACAATAATATGCATGCTTCTACCAATAACAACGGAACAACCAAAGCTCCTAGAGAACTTACCACTTGCCTGATGACACCTCAGACAACAATCAAATTCTTCAACTAAAATTTAAACTTCTTTTCCGGTCGGGTTTAACAATGACCCGACATAAGAACGGGTCTGGCGCTCCGGAA